GAATCAAGAAACGAGAAAGATAAATATGCTCCTATGATAGACCCAAAAAGGTGGAAGAAAAGGTGAAATAGGGTATCTTTGAAATAATATTATTATTATTTTGTTGAATTTCTTTATTGTTCTTACCTTGATGAGTATCAAATTCTTAAATTAATTCTTCCAACATATGGAGTAACTAAAAAGTATCACAATTTTTTTATTTTAGTTAAAAGTTTCTTCCTTTTTTTCTCAAACTTGTCGAGATAGATAATTGTAATATGTTGAAATAGGAAAAATTACGGAAATTTAAGGTGATAAGATTCAAACAAATGCAATTGTATGACTATATCACTACTCCTTTCGTTTCTAATTCTTCCTGCATTATTATGATGGAATTATTGCTTTACGACAAAGTGTGATTTTACTTGTTACAAAGTTACTAACTTTTAAAGTTAGCTTGTTCTTTGAATTAGAGGTTCATTGAATTAGTTTGATCATTTTCAAAATTTGTTAATTTGATTTACTGGGGTTATACGTATGTTATATTCAGTTTAGGACATGATCCTTTTCAATAATAATAATCCACGACGAAGAAAGACATTGTCCAATTATTAGGTTTACTTACATTAATAGATGTTTGTGAATTTTATTACGCCTAATGTATTTGACTTGAATTTGATAAATTTATTGTTTAACATGAATCACGATTTACACACTTAAAAAAAATGATTTACACCTCTTTCCATGAATGGAGCATTTAAATTTTGTGCTTTCATAGAAGTGCTAGCATCATTTTGGAGTGTGAGTAAATTTCCTTAGCACATGGTTCTTTAGTTCGGTTTGTGATAGATTTCCTTCATAGTTTGGAATTTGGATATAGTAAGAAATCCAAAGTTAAGAAATGCTACCAAGTTACATGCCACATGTCCCATACTCATGACATAACTTCATTCATGCATTAACATGTTATCTATATTGCTTTATAATTTGTAGCAAGATTCCACCCCTTGAGGAATGAGGAGTGGAGGGATGATTAGCCCCTCTATCTCCCCACGTGTGATGGGAATTTGATTCCTCACCCCCCTTCCTATGATAGGCCTGTTTTTATTTTACCATCAACAACTTGACTTTCACGTTTGTCGACGCATAATTCTAACCATTAATATATACATTTAATTATTATCAAATAAAAATTATAAAAATATGATTGTGATGATATACATTGTGATTTGTGACAAATCTAATAAGATCTCATTTGACTCTATTTTTCCTTATATATCATTCACCAAGAATGGTCAAACAAAAATTCGTGAATAGTGACAAATGTCATAACGATAAATATATACTAAAGCATAGTCTTTTGGTTTTTTTAATAGCAAATTTTTTATACTACGTACTATGTGAGATTTCAAAAGGGGCAATTGAAATGAAACTAAGTGAGTATGTTGTCACGGGTTGTCTCCCTCATCAAATATGGGTGTCAAACGGGTCACTAGGTAACAAGGCATAATTGTGGCTTGGGGCTTGCCCGTAGTGCTTAACAGTTCTTCCCTCTATAAAGTTTTATTTTATATTTGCCTTAAATTTCTAGTGAACACCTATAGATAGTAACACAATAATGAGTTATTTGGGGTTCAAATGAAGTTAGTTCAAATGGGTTCAAATTTGGGGTCCACCGTATTTTGGGCCAAGAAACATCATGGAAGTGTCAGTTTTCCAATATGAGATCCCAAAATATGAGTTTGGGCAGTAAGAAGTCCTAAAACGGGGAGATATTTAGAAGGTTTTGTAGTTCACTAAGAGGTTCTTTTGAGGAATATACTAAAGAGGATGATTCTAGAATATTCAAAAATGATCTTTTACATAGTAAAATGTTTATAGGGTGTGCTATGTATGTAAATATGTGTTGTAATGTTCTAAAATGTTCTAGGAGTGTCTTTTACATTTTAAACACAATAGTGTGTAGGAACCTCTTTATATGTAAGTTCCTCTGGAGGTGGGAACATTGTAGAAGGTAGTTTATAACCCTCCATTTGAGGAGGTTAGAAATCTTCTAGAGATAGGAGTTAGGAGGTTAAATGCCTATAAATAGGCTATCCCATTCATTTGTAAAATCAGCCAACACCTTCTAACACTTGTATTCTCTCTTCAAAGCATTCTTTGAAAACACTTGTGAGCATATCTAGTATAGCAAATTCAAGGGAAATCTTGACTAGAGTCTAAAAGGTGTTATTCTAGTGGACCATGGGCAAGGGGGCTTAGGAAAATAAGTACCCTATATATATGAATAGGCTTTGGTTACATTTTAGAAATGCATGGCAAGACATTGGCCAAGACATGCAAGTGCGACACAATTACACACCATCATATTTTTTTTGGAGGGAATTCTCGAAACGAAAACTTGTTACGTACAACAATTTTAAAAATAAAAATCCTCTATAATTTATTTTAAAATTATATATATTTTTTTCAACCATGGTTTCCACTTATACTTATTTATTTATCTGGAAAGAATTTCATTTGAATAAATTAACTATGGTAAGCGGTGGGACCCACCAATTATTTTAGGTTCTAATTTATTTGCAAAAGAGAATATTTTTTAGTTTTTCTCAAAAAAAATAATGCGTGTTAACCCCTAAACTTTTTTTTAAAAAAATAAGGCGTCATCTCTAAATTTGGTACGGTGCAGGTCATTACAAGTTTTTTTAAGCATCTTATCATAAAAATGTTATCTATGAATCTTGTTCAAATTTTTTATTTTTTTTGCTAGGCTTTAGGGATTTATTTTTTAAAAAAAATAGTTATTGGTATTTATGAATTATGATGCTAAAATTGATGCTTAGTATTGTTATTGTGTTTAATTTATTTGTTTGTTCTTGTTTTTTAGAATTTTGAATTTTTTTGTGTTAAATTGGGTAAATGAGAATTTTTTTTCCAAGCATTTTAATTTCAAGTCTTTTAGCACTTTCCATATAGTCAGCTTCCTTTAATTTGATAGAAATTTTTTCATAAGCTTCTTATTTCTTAGAAAAGTACTATAATGATAGATTAGTATATGTTAAATAACCCACATAGTGCTTGATATTTTAGGAGTTGTTCGATATAATATATATTAGTATAAGTTGTCCGATATAATATATACGGAAATTTCATGATATACCACTGATCTTTTAATTAACCATATACCATTCAGTTTCCGTCCGTTAGCACAGAATACCATTAATGACAACTGCCGTCAGTGTGCCGTTTGTGGTAATTCCTTAATTCACCATATACCATTACTTTTTTTTATTTTGCATGAAATACCATTTTTGATTGAAAAAATAATTGAAAAACTTATACAAAAATAATTGAAAAAAAATAATTACCACCACCAACTCCCAGCCATCTCCTCGCCCCCAACCAGCACCCAGCCCAGCCCCCCGCCCCCCGCCACCCGCACCCAGCCTTGAATCCCACGCCAGTACCCGCCCATTCCCTTGAACCACCATGCCCCCACTTCCCCTCTTGAACCATATCCTCGCCTTTCATCCTTAGCCAAAAATTTGGCCACCTCGAAACCACTTCGCCGGCAGCCTAAATCCCATCCCTCCACATCGCCACCTCCCACCATAGTCGATAACAATACCTCGTCACCTTTATACCCAAAAATCGAAATCCCCAAATTAAAATCGAAACCCTAGATTTCGATTTCAGGGATTTTTAATTTGGGGTTTTGGTGTGGTGGTTCAATGGGTGGAGATAGCAGGGGGGCGGTTTGGGTTCGCCAGCGCGGGGAGGGGTTTTTGGACGCCGAGGGTGGGGAGGGTTTTTCGAGGGAGAGAGGATGGGGTTTTTCGATTGGAGGGTAGGGGGTGTTTGTCGGGGTGGGGAATAGAGGAGGGAGGGGGTTGTGGGTAGGAGGGATGGAATCGCCGGCGAGGGCGGAGGTCACGCCGACACCGACGCGGGGGAAGGGGTGGATGCCTGCGACCGGCTGGCTGGGGTTGGGTTGGTGTTGGGATGGAGGGTGGATGGTCGGGGTTAGTGGAGTGAGGAGGTGGTGGTTGTTTTTTTTTAATTCTTTATTTAACTAATTAATTAGATAATATTAATAAGAGCCAATAAGTGACAGCCACGTGGCATAATTAACCCTAATTACTAACGGCGTTAACGACACACTGACGACAGTTGTCATTAATGGTATTCTGTGCTAACGGACGGAAACTGAATGGTATATGGTGAATTAAAAGATCTTGTGTGGTATATGGTGAATTTTGAAGAAACTCAGTGGTATATCATGAAATTTCCGTAATATATATTAATATATGTTATTGGTTTCTAATGTTTATAATTCCACTTATTTTGCTTTCAATACTTGCCACTCAAATATTTTGCGATTTCATCATCATTACCTCAATACAAGCCATAATAAATGAGCATTGAGCAGATCTTGTTATTCCATTATTGTAATATTTTGTTTGGAATTACTGAGCTTAGTAAGCTTTTTCAGATGGGTTAAATTGCCTAGAATTTGTTATCTACACCTTGGTGTTTTTGCTCGTCATTTGATGATTAAATGAAAAACAATCATCAAAATGAGAATCTTTTAAAAATTAAAAGAATCATCAAAATGAGAACAAAATACTCATGGGTGTACGATACACCCGAGTGTATATAACAATCTCTCTAAATTGCCTAATAATTAACTACAAGTCTCAAAAGGTGAAGTAAAAAAATTCAAGTCCCAAAAGGTGAAAAATAAAAGAGTTTAGTCCCAATTGTTACCGTTTAACTCAGTATAAAACTATAGATTTTGATTTCCTTACACATCCCACCTACATGAACATTATTTAGTCAGATCTCTTGGATGCATTACAACTAATATATTGCCTATAAAAAAAAGGAAATGTAAGAAATTAGGTTCATCAATTTGTACATGCAACATTTTTAATATTACACTTACTAATACTCTGTACAACTGTAATTTTTGCTTAGATATAAATCACCAAAGATAATCAAAAGTAATGTTTGTGAACAAATTAAAAGTTAAAGTGTTACTAGTATTAAAAACAAAGGAGATAATATATTGTATAGAGTTATAACACACCTCGTGAATAATACCCCAATTACGTACCTGGCTTCTCAAATATTCCTCACATTAAATTATATAAGTGCAAATATCAATAAATTACAAAAGAGTTATATTTGCAGAAACAAAAATGCCTATTGATTAACATCTTCTCTAAATCCATTATGGAGCTTAAAGACTAAGCACCCAATAAAAAAGAAAAAAAAAACCCTGCCTACACTATATCATATATCCCACCTCTTCTTTACCCGGAACATCAAAACTGAAGATTTTATATCATCCTGAGGCACTTGAAGCATGAATTGCACTTTCATTTTCATCGGCGCAGCTTTAGCTTTACCACCTTCATCTCCAACCTAGAATCAAGAAAAATTTGTAATTATATACATTTGTTTACTTGTGAATTTATTAAATTCCTAGTAGTGGTTAATAATTAGTTTGGGGAATATGAGCATCCTTTGTAGAAAATTGGTAGGATGCTGGAAGATTGGTCTCTACGCAGGCTTTGTGCTAACCAAGTTTAGTACTTTGTATATAGTAGCAGTATTTCATATATATTGCCTGCTTAAGAATCTTTAAAACACTCATTCTGCCCCCTCAAAAGAGAGAATAATTTGGTAACATGATTCAAGGCTAGTTAAAGAATGAAACTAACAAAATGAAGAAAACCCATAGTGATTTTTTGTTGCGTAAATATCTTAAATGTATTCCGATCTGATGCGTGGAATAAACCCTTAAGGAGCAGACAGGGTAGTCTCTAGCTAATTCCTGGTACCTGACCTTTTTTGGTGTATGCTAACTGTAAGAAGGATTCTTGCGACTCTCTGTACTCAATAACTTATATCCACGCTACTATGACAAACACAGGATTCACACATGCAAATAGTAAATTTATCTAACCCTACCATAACAAACATTTTAAAAATACTATTATTCCCCTTCCCTAAAACATTACCTTGATGATGGCTCAAGGATAAAATACATAGCGAGCTCTTTGCTTATATTTATCTCGCAAAATAATCACGCGGACACATGGGATTAGGAAATCCAGCAGACACAAAAATAAAAAAAAATAAAAAAAAAAAGTAACCCAGGAGGCCAGGATGTTTGAGCAAGGAAATAAACCCCATTAAGAATATAATTGTTAAACTATTTATAGAATGATTACGAACATATATTTTTTTTGCTAGGATAATTTGTAGAGGCAGAAACATCAACATTCTCCTTAAGAAGGAGGTATCAACCTTGGTCACACAAGAGTCCACTATTCCCATTTTACAGCTTATATGTTTGAAAAAATCTTACATTGAAACCCATCAAACTTCTCATTGGTGTGACGTTTACCCGAGAGGTCCATATTTCAAAGGCACATTCTATAACCAACTTCCACTTTCAGCAGCAACTTGTGAGGCTGTTCTAGTGTCTAAACCCACTTAGACTCTCACCAATCACCAGTCAACAATGAGGTCCCAATTAAACGATCATTTCCAATTCCCTTGAGCCACTAAGGCTATGATGCTCGGACTTGGACACAAGTGTCAAATGCAGGTAAGAATCCAAAAGTCTAACATGAAAATTCTTAGCTAGAAGGCATGAGGAAGTGGTTAGGAGTGATCAGTATTAGAATATAAATAAAGAGCATGGGACATGGATACTTTCCTTCATTATAACTTGTATATGTTTAAAGGTAAAAATAACCAACTTTCTCCTTTTTGACCAAAATTAAGTGTCTATACGTTCATACTACTTGGGGTGTCAAGTATCAATCATGGGTACTTGGGTTTGGGTTGAAAAACAAAATCATTGTAACAAGGTACAGTATCCCTTGTAAAACTCTCTCCATCCCACATTAGTTCGAATTATCAATATGCAAAGTTTTAGGAAATAAATTGTGGTTGGATTACCATTGTTACTTTAATTGAGAAGTAGATGTGATGGGAGTTACTGGAATATTTGTATGGTAGTTTTTAATCAAATAGTAGGCGTTAAAATGAGATAGTAGGCCCAAAAGAAAGGTAGGAAATAATTAATTTTTGGTAGGACCATACCAATACAAGTATTCAAGCTATTCTAGGATGGAGGGAGTGTGGTTAAGAAATCATTGCTTTATTTTGACAAGCATTAAGCGAAGGCAATAATGAAAAAAAAAAAAAAACCCACAGTCGTTCATTGATTTACAAGGGTGAAAATCTTAAACAAAAAGGGTTCTACAGAAAATGATTGTGGGAGTGTTAAGTTAGTAAGCTTGTACAATAAGAACTATATTAGCATAATGCATATGCATGCTGAAGCAAGTTTTATAGACAGCGTCAGCAAGCATATTAAAAGACAAACATTCACTTTTACAGATATTGAAAAAGAAAACAATACGTTGAAAATGGTTACAAAACCTATTTTCATCTTGTGAGATATGAAATCAGATCAAAAGAAACCAATTTCTTCTCCAAGTCTTTTTTATCAGAAAATTATGTTCATGGCCTTCCTGTTTTATTTATGTAAGGTAATGCCTTCATTGACCTCGGTTATACTAAGCATTAAATTCACTTTGTAGATTTTTTAACTGTTGTGAAGCATTTTCTGCAGCAGATTGATTTTAAAAAACAACAAATCGTTCTTCACATAATACTCAGTATGTTTTTTAAGAGAGAAGAAAATGGTTTCAAGTAACCAGTTTTCTATGCCCAAAAAACGACAATGATTTGAGGATTCAGCTGTAAAATTGAACCACAGCAAGGTTGGTGGACAAAAATGGAACGATAAATTACCCAGCAAGTTTACAAGATGTACGCATCTATTATAAATTCAACTTTGGAACTTAACAAAATCCACCAATAGAATCTTTTGGCTGTGGTCATGGATCCATCCTCCATCTTCAGTTATCTTAATATCACAATGATATAGCAACAAATGAAAAAAAAAAAAAGAGAGAGGGGGGGGGGGGGGGGCTCCAACCAAAAAAGGGATTCATAACTGACACTTCATTGCAAAGCTAAATTTGGATGAACAATTGAGTATATATGTTGGCAAATATCAATTAACAGTGGATTAAGACAGGAAAAACTTACCCAAAGTGACGCCCATCCAAGCCTGACCTCGGAATCATACCCAGCTTTAAACTTATAATCTTTGCCAACAGTATGCTTGTACGCAGTACTCCAATAATTTGTATCAAAGTCGTACCAGTAACTGGAAGCAATTATTTTACGGAGAAAAAAGAGGACCAAGTGAGCACGTAAGTTTCTTTTTTCCATAAATTAATCATAGTCTATGTCAAATATTTAAAGGAAGATTAACATATACGGAGTGAAGGATGCACCTTAATTTGTCTGAAGGACCAAAGCGTCGCTTGAATGCAAATGAAACAGCATTTGAAGGCAAAGAAATGCTTGGAATAAATGACATTTCATCATCCTGCACAGAGTTCAAAAATTCAACTCTGGGACAACAATACAAGAGAAAGCGGAAAAGGTATAACAAGCAGGAATTTGGAAGTCAGCTCAGAGCCGAGTCAGATCCCTGTATCATTTCCTCCAACAAGTTAATTACATACAATAAAGTATTGGTGATAAGAAAATTTTTATAATAAGAAAAGGGAGCATCCAAACAAAATAACAGACGCAAAAGTGTGCTAGAAACCCTACCTTATATGAGTATCTTAGTTTCAAAGTTTCATCGCAGTACACAGCAGTGCAAAGGCCATTGAGAATTGAACCTTTCGCAATACCACTTACTGACAAAACTCTCTTCAAATCTTCATCATCTTTCTCAACTAATGAAACTTCACCACAAGGAAATGTTAAAGTTGCCTTTGGCTGCAGCATCAAAATCACAGAATAAAGTCATTACCATTCAGTTGTATTAGGACAGCAACTTAAAAGAGAACATAATGAAACTCCAACACGAAGAATTTAACCTCCCCTACGGCCCCTACCCCTTTTCCCGCAATTTAGGATAGCATACCAACAAAAAAGGGAGTTGACTGTTGGCATGCTACTAATTCTAAAATTTAAAATATTAATTTTAAGAAAGCACAGAATCATCCAGAATAATCTTACAAATATGGACAAGGGCAAAATAGTGACAACCAACTAACCTCACCAAAACTGACAAATGAAAAGAAAAAGCCATTAAATCAGTATTTTGGATCACCAACTGCTAAAACTAGCCAATTAGGAAATAGGACATACTAAGAACCAAATGAGCTCACCAGACCAATAGAAGGAAAATCAGTGGCCAGTTCAAATTTGTAGCCTGGATCAGAGAGATTTGCTGCCAATGAGACTTCTCCTTGTCGTGCCTGTAATTTTGGAAGTTGTGTCAGTGCAGTTATCAACACTCACAACAGTCATTCTTAAATAAAGCATGCAGCTGATGATGACATCGCAGCCATCAGTAATAAGAAATAGCAATCCTCTTAAAAAGAGATGGCAACAATTAAATGGACAAAAATCAAATAGCACATGCAGTATTCTCTTTTAATACTCACCAAAATTTTCTTAAAGTATACAAAGTGCCTATTAAAATGTACTTTGACAGTAATTGCACATAACATCACAACATAGTATAAACATACAGAGAGAACCACCTGTTCTTTCCCTTGTCAAATATCTCAGAAAGGCATTGATAACATTGAGCTCCAACTGAACATATCAACGCTACCAAATATTGTGAAAAAAGTTAAAATCAAACAATGATTTATTTCAATGCCTTAACATTGCCAGACAAAGAGCCCCTTTATTTACAATTTATATCTTAATGATAAAGTTACAAAAACGAACAGGGACTAAGATTGACAAAGTTTATGGCTCTCTTACTGTCTTACTAATTTCCAATTCAAAGAGCATCCTGAACTCTTCAAAAAGCAGCAGAAAATTATATTTTTTTTAAAATATTAATATGTATCACCAAATATTAGCCCCTGGGGTGATGGCAGACAAACACCAATAAAATAAATCACCCAGAATATGGCAGGAATAGCTAGAGGATCGAGGATCGTCCTGCTTCAGATCTATCAACGAATATGATGTACCAGATAATTTTCAAGGTATGTGAAAATAAATGGTTCTGGAGTTGTCCAAGGTGATAATGTGATAGTTTGAATGTGATAAGAAACCAGTGTGCAACATAATCACATATAGTTGAGAAGAATATTTAATTTCTATGAAAGAAGAATCTGATTCCCTAAAGCAACTATTGGGCATCCTTTCACCCCCCCCCCCCACCCCACACACAACCATCATCCACCCAACCCTCTACAATAAGGAATAAAGTGAAAAGGAGATTCATTACAAACGAAGCACAGTGACGACTGGGAAAAAAAAAAAAAAAAAGGATCTTTTATTTTATGATCTGCTTAGCTGCACATAATGAACCGAATAGTCAAAATAAAAAAAAAAAAAATTATATCTAAAAAAGGATAATCTCAAGCTCTACAAGAAGGTACTACAATTTCCCTGACACATCTGGCCTCCTAGTCAAAATAGCAAAACCAATTACAGAACAATCTCAAAGTATATGCAAAATGAACAGATAGCTTTGTAAAATAATTTAGATTGTTAAGATGAACATCGCATGAAAAAAGATCATCTAATCTGAAGGAAGAGAGAGAGAGAAGGTGGAGTGGCGTCAGAGACCTTCGCATCATAAGCAGCTTCCAGCTGCAATCTGGAGCTAATGTGGAGTAAACCTTTAACCAGTGAATTCTTCTCATTCAAATAATAATGCATAGAGAAATTCCTTGTCAATAAGCTGAGTTCAGGCCTGTAGGTTTCACCCTTCTTGTTATTCTGGTTTGATTAGCATGGGTGCCTAGTCAAATGCCAATTGAAGCTAAAAAGGATCCATACTATGGTTCTCACACAGAGTAATGTAGCCCATATATAACCTCTAAACTCAAAGCTTATAGCATATTATATGAGCAAGTAAGCTTCAAAGAGTAATGACCAAGATCAACATAGAACAAGTTCAATTAGTTTAATCACAAGTCACTTGAAAATAATTAATCAAGAAATCCTATACTTAACCATCCAAAATTAAAATGATGACCTTTAACTTAAGGGGAAAAAAAATTAAAAAGAGTAATGACCCTTAATCTATACTATTTGGATGGACAAAAATAACATAAAAGATCAGCTGCCAGTTAAAAAAGCGACAAAGATTGTTGGTTTTGATTTCATACGACATATTCACAAAAGGAAAATCCAAAACATCATACGAAGTATCTTATTGTTTAAGGTCTGAAAATGAGTAATTAGTACTCTGTATTATAGGGAAAAGCCCAAGTGACATAGCAACATACAGAAGCACTAAACTTTAAGTATTAAAAAGAAGCAGATGTTTATACTTTATAGCATATATTGGGCCAAAATTATGAGTATTCTTCAAAAAAATAGCCAAGTTGGACACTTGGACGTGTACCCATGTTAGACATGGTACCTTAGTCCGAGTAACATAAGTAATATTTAGACAAGGTGTCATAGTTTCCAAGGGAGCCTCAGTCTCACTCAAAAGTCAGGCATAGCTTAGTTCGGCACTTTTTCCCCGAAGTAATCTTTGTGCAATTCCTCGTAGCATCTCAGCAAGTTGACAAATGTGCTACCTGTCATTAGACCTCCTTGCTCTACCATTCTTTATAGTACGAAATATTAAAATTGCAATTCACAAAAGTCAATTTGTACCTAAGAAATCACCACAATGACTAAACGAGGCGCCATGCCGCCATTACTGAAATGACCAACACCCAAGAGATGCACTTTCGTGATACCATAAATCAATTAGCAATTTGCTTCCCATTAATTTAGCTACAATAAAAAGGTAAAAAAAATAAAAAAAGACAATCTTTAGCAGCGTAACATCTCAGACAATGATTAAATCTAAAGTCATCACAAGAAACCTAATTTCGAGTCAGTTCATGGAAACAATATCCAAATTCAGAACATCAATCCTACCAAAATAGTAAAATTCATCAAAAAAATCAAAATTAAGTACTCCAACCAACAACAGCCACATCCTTACCACCATATCATCAATGGCGCACACGATCACCAGTGCATGCAACACTCGTTAATTCATTATGAACCCTAAACGAGCAAATCATCCAAAAAATCCAATTCGATAATAACATCAACTATATACAAATTGATGCTATAATTTCCACAAATTCCAAAACAAACTCCATAAATCAAATACTTCGTATAATACAAGAAAGAAAACGAGAATAACCTGGATATTATGAGCAGCCTTAAGTTTAAGATTAGGGCCAACATCAAGAAACCCTTTAACCAACGCATTCTGTTCCTCAACATCATAATGAATAGCAAGATGCTTCGTAATAAGAGCGATTTGCGGCTCAGCAACTTCACCCTTGGGATTATTATGGAAAGTGAATTTCAATTTAGCCAATCCATTGAAAAGCTTTGACGATACTTTGTGGAAGAACACCGAGCTTTCGCTGTCGAATTCTGTTGTGACTCGCAACGGCGGACGTTTCTGGAATGAGAACAGTCCAAACGCCGGCGATTTCTGCGACGACGGAGACGGCGGCGGAGGTGGAGGAGGTTGGGGTTGGAAGGAGGAAGGGCCGCTGAAGAGGATGAGGGAGTCTTGAGGTTGTGGAGGTGATTCGGTGGTCGCCATTGATGGAGGTTTGAGGAGAGTGAGAAGAGAGAGTGGATGGAAATGGTTTGAGGAGAGAGAAAGTGGGAAATTTTATTTTGTTGTTGGTAAAAATGTGAAGGGAGAGTGATGATGAGGAAAAAAAGAGGGAGAAAATTTAAAAATGGCCCATGCAGGTTTCGAACCTGCGACCTCCGCGTTATTAGCACGGCGCTCTAACCAGCTGAGCTAATGGGCCTTTTGGGAGTGGTAGTTGGATTTAGAACTTGTTTTCAAATTTAAGAGAGAAAATCCCAATGTTTTTTGTGTGTGTGTGAATATTTTTTTTAAAGGTAAGAAGAAGGGTCCGCTCTCTCACAGAGTCACAGGTCAACTTGACTTGAGTTAGCAGGTTAAGTCCTTTTTTAAGAAAATGATACACATCCGAAAACTATCTTAAATTGTCTCAAATTGGGGTTTGAGAGGAAGTTCACACCAATAATTACTCTTGTCATCAATGATAAAAATAAGTGTCCGTTTGTACTTTAAAACCTTATTTTGGTACAATATTGTACCAATATAAATATTCAATCTCTTCTCAACTCTTTGCTTATTGAAAAACATCACATCTATCCAGAAGCAAATCAAATAGATGATAGAATGGAAAAGGTAGTTCATTAATATCAAGCGTAAACTTCTTCTTCTACTTCTTGAGGGTTAGCTTTGCGTTCAGCTTCTCTTCTCCATTTGCCTAAAGGTTTAGGTGGGTTGGGTGTTCGAAATCTAGGCAGTTTTAATTCAGCAATGCTAGCTCAATTCAGCATCCTCAACTACTGTCTACTGGTCTCCAGATTGTTGTTCTCAAAATATCCCTCCCTTCGCTCGTTGGGTGGGGACAGGATCTCTCGTCCGTCTTAGGGATGTCGAAGCATGATGGATGGAGTGTCCACTGTGACTCAGGGGCTTGCCTGGAAGGTTGGGCCTAGTGTTCGGTTTGGCTTACTAAGGACTCCTAGGTTCCTGGGGTCCAGTTCAGTTCAAACAAGGTATTTATGAGTCGATTTTACCGACTCTGGTTTCTTATATTATTAATCCGCATTCTTACGTGTGGGATCCATCTTTGGTTCATCGATTTTTTGATAATCCTACTGCTCTTCGTATTCTGTCTATGGAACAACCCTAACAGTTGATAGATGACTTTGTCTATTGGAAGTTTACTAGAGATAACGCTTTTTCTACCAAATTGGCTTATGCTTTGTTGATCAAGCAGCTTTCGGTTTCAGCTGCCACTCCTTCGATTCCTCTTAATTGGTGGAAACACTTCTGGGTCTCCCTCTTCTTCCTAAGTTTATAATGTTGGGTTGGAAGTTGCTTTATAATGCGTTACCCCTTTATTCAGTCTTGCGAGATCGTGGGTTGCCTTTGAATCCAATGTGTGTGTTCTGTAATCAACAGACAGAGACAATTTCTCATTTGCTCCGCGATTGCTCCTTCTCTGCTCATCTATTAGTTTTTAGTTCTTTAGGTTTTGAATTGATAGCCATTTGCTAAGTGCAAATTAAAGCCGTTCGATGTATGGTTCACAAATGTGGTTTTGGAGTTTACTGCCTCTAACCAGTAGCGGAGTCAGGATTTATAATTCGGGGGGACAAATTTTGAAGGTTAAAGTTTCGGCAAAAATCTCAAGAAAAAAATTGATCACCTAAGTTGTTTAATATTTATTTGAAATCACATACGCTAATTATTTCTATATGACAAAAGAGGAGTAAAAAAGTTTTATTGTATATTAAGAAAATTATCCAATAAAAATGAATAAATTTATGTTTGTAAATCCTGTTATGTAATCACATAATTGATAAATACGAATCAATGACCTTATCATAAAGTCAAATAATTATCGTTAAAACAAATTGATGGTAGGTATGAAGGGCCTAGGTTTGAGTTACATTCGATAAAATAAACTCAACTTTCTCAAATCAATCATATTATTACATATGTATTTCGTATGTATATATAAAATTTAAAACACAGTAGAGTAGGGAATCGAACGTGGGACCAAGACACAGCCTTACTAGGGGACTCAACCACTAAACCATATTCAACATTGTGATATTTACTGTAAGTATACGTTATTTATAGCCTTTTACTGTATTTTCTTGATTTTTTTTTGTTTAAAAAAAAAAAAAAACTTTTTTTCCGAAGCCCTGTCCCCCTTGTTCTAATGTGGCTCCGCCACTGCCTCTAACAACTGGGAAGGGTTGACTACTCTTTTCTCCTTGCTTTGGGCTGTGTGGCTTACTCATAATCAAATCTTTTTTAATTAGACGGTTTGCTCTCCTGATTCGGTTCTCCAGCTTGCTGTTGTTTGGGTTGACAAAGTTCTTTAGGCCCTCAATTACCGTTCCAAGGTTGTCAATTTACGGAGATGTGTCCCTTTTATTTCCCCTCCCTTTACTGGTTGTTTGCGGGGGTGATCTTTCTGAAGTTCTTAATGTGTGTCTTATATTTGATGGTGCCTGGTTGACAGTGGATAACTGTGCTGGTATTGGTTGGTGCCTTAGGGTGGCCTCTTCGGATAGTGTTAGGTGGGGGGTGTGATAGCTTGTCAGACTTCCTCTGCTCTCTAGGCGGAATTATAGGCCTGTTTGGGGGGTCTTCGTATGGTCTTTCGGAGGGGTGTTCGTCGCCTCCCTATTTACATTGCTTGTGCCGTGCTTATCTCCCTTATCTGTCATCTACGCTCCGCAGATGTCACCTATGTTTGGTTATTTCAGGACATTAGCTTTGTTCTTTTGAAGTTCTCAGCTTGTCGGATATGCAAAGTTCCTCGTCTCCTCATTGGTTGGCTGTGAAGGCTTGACAACAACAATTTCTTTTTGCTACTTTTAGTTTGGCTGTGTTTTTTTAATGTTTGTTAGAACTTCTTGTCCCAAAAAAAAAAAAAAAAAAAAAAAAAAAAAAAAAATCTTATTATCTCACAAATTGATATTGCATATTGTTTATAGTTTTCACATATAATTTGGGTAAATACAAGTTGATCTCTAAGATTAACAATTTTGTTTATCACATGACATTTTTGTAAATAAATAAAAAAAACTTTTATCTTAAAAACGGACCCCACAGTGATGATGACTGGTTGAAGTTGTTGATTTATTTACCAAAACATCATGCGATAAACGATTTTTGTTTATCACAGAGATTAACCTGGGCTGCCTCATATAATTGTACTTCCTCTATTTTCGTAAGTGCAACAATCACTATGGCATGCTTTTTGATAAAGAGGTTAAATAAGGTCATCGAACAAATTAGCTAAACTAATTGAACTTAAACATTGTTATACTACTCGGACTCTTCATTTCGATTTAAGTACCCGTGTCAGACCCTCAATAGTTGGACATGAGTGACACTTAGACACTTCACTTTTAATTAAAAATCATGGAATTAATTTAAAAAATAGCCGATTTAGACCCTTAAACATCCCAAACCAAGTCCATGTAACATTGTAACATAGCCAAGAACACAACATGTCTCCCTTACCAATGTTAAAATTGGATAGGCTAATTTGTCCATTTACCTCTTATAATTATTTTCTTAAAAATGCGTGCTAAGTAAACATATTACACTTGATGTAAAAACAAAGGAAGTATTGGAAATTTCGCCTGTAAAATGTCCTCTTATCATTTCCCATTTTCCCCTACACATTTTTTCTTTTTCTTTTTTTTTTTTTTTGGCAAAACATCAAAATAAAGCCTTACTAGGGATTTTAAGATAAGCTTCTTTACCTTTCTCATTCTCAAGGGTTTGAGTTTCTACAAAATTAAATTACACACTCGTAACAATAATTGTTTTTTTTGAGAGCAAGAAGCCCTTTTCGAAAGAGAAAAATCAAGTTTAAGCCTAAATGAAGAGCAACTTTGTCATTTCATCTATTAGACGAGGGTATCTTTATCATTTCATTTTTTTTAAACAAAAAAAGGTGGTTGATCTACAAATTTTGTAAATCAACCTGATTAATTGGGTGCCGACAACAGCTACTTGGTATTTTTAGGTCATCTCTAGCCGAGAGAGAGAGAGAGAGAGGCGCCACAAATACATTACTTGCCTTTCATTGTAAGTTCTTCATTCACATCTCTACAGGTATATAATAATCCGAGGTTCTTGGTCTACTTTCTACATTTTTCTTTCTTTTTTTTTTTACCGGGGTTCATAAGAACAAATAGGCACAATACATTTTCGACATCATCTTTTCCTGGAAGTAAATGACACTCAAAGCACAACATAGGATTAAAAGCCAAACCAACAGTTCGCTCTAAAACCCTGCCATTAACCCACAAACAGAGCGGCAAAACTCCCCCTCACAAGCACCCAACACACAGCCACACACTGACATCGGAAGCACACGAAACTGAAAAACTCAGCAACCAAATGTGGGGCAGGAGGCTTATTTTTAAGCAGTTGTATTGACAGCAATTGGCCTCCCTCTGCCCATAGAAAACCCTCTGGTACCATCAGGCATACGAGGGCCAGGAGGCTGCTGCTTTGCTACAATAGGGTGCTCTGCGTTCATTGCATTGTTCACAGGTGGGGAGCCCACATGGTGCCCCCTACTATTTTGGTGATGATTATGAAGACCCCTTCCACGCCCCTTTCCGCGACCCCGATTACGACTCTTTTTCTGCCCACCCTCTTTTTCTGAGATTGGCTCCTCGGCCTGTTCAATGACAGAAAACTCTAATGATCAGCTGCTATAGATATATATAAGAAACTATTTATCAGCAGATTGCAACATCATTAGTCAAGGCCAGTGAAAAAAGCACCATGAACATACTACCAAGATATCAGAGATTTTAATGCAAAAAGAAAGAAGATTCAAAATTTGGAAACAGATGAAATAAAAAGAATCTCTGGTGTCAATTACAATTAAGACTGCTTAATTCAATTCTATTGCTATTCTCTACTTGATTAGTTATCAATAAATATCATAGAATCAATTAGTTTGATTCAATAACATTTTTTAAAACATAGCAATGCTATTTCACCAGGGACATGTGGACAATTGGATTTATACTTCACAATAGGACATAACAAAGTACTCCCTCTGTTTCATTATATAGATAAGCCTTAGCCAGCTAGCCCCTAATTTTGAGAGAGTAAAAAAAATATTTCATACTCCCTCAGTGTTTCAAGCAGTTGCCAAACTACGGAAACCACGAAAAATGAACATTAGAACCATGGATGTGGATACTTTTATTACTTTGAAGAGGAGAGAGATAGAGGATAAGGGATTTATTAAACACAATTGGGTCTCACAAAGCAGGATAGTAGATGATAAAAAATGAATAGAAAGTTGTCATAAAAGGAATAAGGTAAAAGTGTGTAGAACTTGGAAAAATGGATGAAACCGGAAAGTGAATAAATCTTAGGAAAACAGAGAAAATATTACTTGATTCCTATACCCTTGGTCTTACTCTTATATACTCTGCAATTCTGCATTCTCCAAACAGTTATGAGAAAAAGAAAGGGAAATTATGTAAAGCATAGCATTTGAAAGTGCCTTTAATTTTGTCAAGTGTTGTTATATACATTAAAACAATGAAGAGCTCTTATGGTTGAGACCAAAAAAAACTACATGAATCTTAGATACCCTAATTGTCGTTCATAGTTGGGTGTTAAAACCTGTATAATTTCTCTATTCCTAAAAGAGGGTTCATATTTGTGATCCACGTCAACCAGTGTAGGCCTGTTGGGGCTTCTCCATTCTCTTTTTTTTTTTTTTTTTTTTGGGGGGGTGGGGGTACATCACTGAAATAACATTTAGTTCATTTTAAATATATAATCTCATATATTCAACCAATGTAATCATTCAAAGTTCATAATGAAATTTTGACAAGAAAAAAGTGGATACTCTGGGACTAAAAAAGAAGAATTAGCTTCTACTTGTCTGGGTAGTGACCTAGTGATGACAACATCCACACAGATACAAGTTACAAAGAGAAGAATGCTTACTTGCTCATGAGAGTGGACATCAGAATGCCCAGAAAGGTTTTCTGATTGCTTTTCATTTTGGTTCTGCTCAGACGTGGATACATCTTCTTCTTCACATGTCACTTCACCTTCATTGCCAGATTTCTTTCCTCGTGCTTGTGCATTCTTAGACTGATAACCCCAGAAAATACAAAGATAAAAACAATAAGAAAACCCGGGACATTAACATGTAATACGGAGCTTAGCAAATTTAGAAACTCACATGACATCTATACTACGTAAACAGGGTACAAATGGTGTAAACTAGAGCTGTATCTTTTAACTCATTAATACTCAAACTCATCAATATTTTAAAATAGGGTACAAATGGTGTAAACTGGAACTGTATCTTTTAACTGGATAATTATACATAAAATCTGTGAAATATCATTTTTTTTAATAACCTCTATAGGTGTTCGGCAAACTAAACTTATACTTTTTCCGTTCCCCTAATATTGCAACAATACCTATTTTAGGAAGTTTAACAAATATTACAACATTACCATATATGCACATGCTATCTCTCCATCTCTCTCCTCATCACATGGGTCCTTATCTTTATTTCTCTCTATCTCTCTCATCATATATTCCATATATTACCCCCTTGTTGCAATATGACCTACAGCTTGGGGCACACTTTTTAAGGAAGAGGAGAGAGAGTGTGTGTTGGGTACATTTTAACCCTTGCTTATTTGTAAAGTACATTAATTAAGTAATTAAACCAACATTGAACAGCCCCATTATACCATTCACCAAACCCACCGGCACCACCGATACACCGTACCACCGACATTTATTCTTCAGATCCGCAAACCACCAGCCACCACCCATTATACTCATTTCACCACATCTAACCACTACCACAGTGCCATCCCACTAACCCATCTAAACCTCCAACATCACAAAATTGGCCTTGAATTGTTGAGAGAAGAAGAAGAAATTAAGAAATCAAACCACCACCAAGCATATGCAAATTTCCAGATCTCACCTCTTTTTCCTCTCTTTTGCCTTTTTCGATCTCCAAAACAACAACAATTATGGCGGTGGTTGCGCGGCGATGACAATGGGAGGTAGATGGGTTATGAAGAGGGGTTTAGGAGAGAGAATATAGAGTTGATGGTGAAGGTGGTGCCGTGGTGGTGTGAAGAAAATAAGATGGTAACGGAGAGAGTAAATAGATTGTGGCCTGTGGGTGACAGCGGTTGTGGTGGCTGGGGTTGTCATTCGATGAGGAGGGCGATGTTTTCTAGGGAGTATGTGGTTTTGGGAGGTTGGGTGGTGCTTTCGGTGGTGGTTCGGTGGATTGGGTGGTGGTTTGGTGGACAAGGGTGGCAGGTTTGAAGGTTTGGAGTTGGGTAGTACAGAACATAGGAGGGGTTTATTAGGAAGGAAGTGCGGTAGTGGGATTGGTTAATTATGGGTAATTAGTAAAGATAAACTTTCTATTTATAGTATAGGTCATCTAATATGACATTTCCTTTTTGGGAATGTTAGTCATCTAAATAAAAACGGAGGAAGTATATTGTATTCCCCTCATAATGGTAGATCCAAACTAGAAAAAAGTAAAATGTAGGTCTTATTTGCAGTTTTATATTGGAGATAAAAAAATTGATAACAAATAACTGTTTTTTATGTGGATCTTTGGGGAGAGCCAAGAAGGGATAGTGTATACAACAACAACAACAACAACAACAACAACAAAGGCTTAGTCCCAAAGTGATTTGGGGAAGAAGGGAATAAGGGATAATGTATACAAGGGAACAATCAATAATGTATAAATAGGAATAATGTATTTTGGCCAATACATATAGGATTAACTAGATAATTCGGTTTTTGAAATTTATAGTAATTGAAATACATAAGTCTCTGGAGAAATACAACTCAATAGTCAATCATAATAATATACAAATAATAACTTTAGGAGGAAAAATTTCCTTCAAAAAAACTCCACTTTAGTGTAGGTATACAACTATACAAGGGAATAACTCTATGAATGCATTTAACCAAAAAGAAGGAATATTTTACTGAATGGAGGGACAGAACAGAAACAAAAATTTGAACTGCTAGGCATGCTAGCACATCTATCTATATACCTATATTAAAGTGGAGTTTTTTGGAGGGAATTTTCCCTCTTAAATTTTTACCTTATTTTTTGAGCAAAATAAATAATTTACCCAGATATTTCATTATTTATATATTTATTATTATGATTGACTAATGAGTTACATTTTTCTAGAGACATCTATAGTTTAATTAGTATTACTATTGTATTAATTTCAAAAATCGAGAATGGTATTAGGAAACCTGCACACTTTTGGAATATGTCAATCAGAGAGGAGCCTTTAGAAAAAAAAGAAGGGAAATGGTATTAGGAAACATCTACCCCAGGTTTAAGCAATGAGCGAACTCTTAAGTTATTCCTCCAGTTACCCTCATCATTCAGCTCAGCAATCTGCAAAAGGTAAAAGATTTTAAAAAAAAATAAATAAATAGCTTCCAAGCAACTGTAGAAAGTAAAGGGAAAGCAAGTTTTCTCTGTGAGAGAAAACCTGAAAGGTGATCAGATTCATACCGCTTTTTCAGCCAGCTCAACTGTTTCATATTCCACAAATGCATGCAGCTAAACAACAGAAACAAAACAGTCAATCAAAACAACAGTCATTATAATATTAGCTCAGACAAAATGCAGATTAACTTCCAAATGTAACCAGTACAGTTTGTTGAACACATTTTGAATCTTTTTTTTTTATTTTTTTTTATTTTTAGCTACCATTGTATATTAAAACATTAAATTGGTGCCATGGAGAAAATATACTCACTTTGACTACCAACGTCACTCAGGATTAATCAATTTTTATAGTAATTACAATGTAAGATCCCTACCCAATATATTTTGGTTATTTTCATACTTTGTATCAAGCGACTCAAAACAGCAATGGACAAATGAACAGTCATAAGAATATTTTCTAGACATAGGACAGGAAAACCAAGACAATAAAAAATAAAAAATATGGTACAAGGAAATTGCATCCCAAGAACACAAGACTTTCAATTACCTTGTTGCAGTACAGCATATTATCGGTTTTTGATGGCCTAGACGCAGAGGAAGCACCATTGTTGGAAGGTTGAGGCTGACAGGTACGAATACTCTTCACACTGGAAAAGGAGAAAAAAAAAAACTCAGTTATTCATAGAAATTTTACTTGTAACTAACTCTCTCCGAAATGTATTCATTATGAATCTTCCAATCAAGTTCACTAGTAATTGTGCTATTCAGGTGTAAGGCTATGTTTAATTGACCTACTTTGTTGTTGTGTTATGATTTACACCTCAGAATCCTTCTGCTCCTAAATAGTAACATAATTTGCCTTGTTCAGCCATTTCTGAATGACTGAATCACTTCCTTATATGGCAAGAGTCTTCCTTCCTCAAACCCTATAAAACAAATCTAAAAACCAGTCCTGTATATTTGAAGGACGTACACACGTACCTAAGCAAGCATGGCATCAAACCACAAGATCTATGCTCAAGAGAAAATCTCCACCACCATTTTCCTGCCAAAGCAATATGTTTCCAAATCATCCTTCCAAATCCCAAACCTCTCATGGAGTCATGGACTTTCTAAATCCCATCTTACAAGATAATCCTTTCAATACTCAATCACCCTTTTAAACCCCAAACCTCTCATGGAATCATGGACTTTCTAAATCCCAACATACAAGATAATCCTTTCAATACTCCACAAGCTGGCAACAGGAAATCCAGCATCAACCTCTCAATTTTATGTGCAATACCAACCAGGGAATTCAAACAAAGATAATGGAGGGGTTCTAACAATCCTCTCAATTTATTTATAAAATATTACATATCGATTACCCCACTTGGCAAAGATGCGTAGCTATTTTCAAAGTTATTGAAGATGTAATATTTCCCATACTACGTACTATGTACTATTAATTTGCTTATTAATCTTTACCTAATAAAAATAATTCTCATATCATTATATTTGCACAAAAAATGCTTATTATTATTATTCATGATATTGTGTTAAAATTACAAAATTTAAAAAAAAAAAAAAAATTAGAATCTGATGTGAAATGATTACTATGGTCCAAATCATAAGTAATGAATTGTAAGCCTTTATAAGATAAATCAGTACCTTCCCACAGCTGAAAAAACCTTCATGAGCTTCTGGTGACAATGATCATCGGGTAAATTTTCAGCCACAATGATACGAGCCTATACATTAATGCCAATAAATCAAAATCATCAGATGTCAAGGAAACCAAGCCTACAGACACAAGACAGAAAACTTTCAAGTATAAAGGTAAAGCCCATCAGTTAATATAGAGATATAAGAAGCTTGCAAACATAAATCTAACTCCATACTTGCAGCTCTTCCATATCAGACCCAGTTAGAGGATGCAAGCGCTTCACTTTCTTCCCATCTTCACTAACTACCTGATGAGGCAGACAGCCATAAAAGATCAATGAGAAGCAGGGTGGATTATAATAGAAAATACAACAGCAGAAAACAAAACCATGACAAGGCAATACCACGCATTAACAAAGAAAGTAAGCTATCAAGGGAGATTTAGGACTTACAAGCTTTGTTGAGTTTCTTAGTATAGCTGCAAGCTGAGAATTACTGCTTATGAGAGCCTTAATCTTCTTAAAAGATGCAACCACTGATATTGGCACTACATAGGGAGTGTAACCAGGAAAAAGTCAAGAAAACAGGATAATTCATTAAAGTAAAAAGACTTCCAAAAGATTAACAAAAACAAAATGTATCCAGGGAAATTTCTACAGCACAGAAGTGATGAAATATTGTTACTCATCATAATAAAGACAACTTATTGAAGATCTGAATTAGGTAAACCGTGTGAAGAGGCTGCAAAGTCCAGGGTCTAACTAACTTAAACACTCAATGTTAGTGGTTACAAAATTTAAGCCAAATCAGCTTACACTTAGTTCATTTGCATTTACATTCACTAAAATCAAGAAGGATGTGATTTTTTTATTTTTTTATTTTTTTTGCAAATTTTGAAAATTGAAAGTGCATATTTTTTAAACAAAAAAGTGCAACATTAACTTAAATTTTTAAAGAGTGTGCAGCTTTTTATTATCAAGCTAATTATATTCCCCAAGAAATAGTCCTTTCAATAAACAAAGTAAAAAAAAATGCAAACTAAACTTAAAATATGCACACTTCATTCCAAAAATGTACTTGCATCCTTGTCATTTTACAAAAATAACATACATCTCACGGGATCTCTCCCCTATAAAGTAGATGATTAGAAGGTACAACAATCATACCAAATCCTTCAGGATCCTTGTTGATGAATCTTATTAGATGATCAGTAGTAGCCAGGTTCACATCACTGAAGTAATACTCCACCTAAAAATGCCTTCTTTCGTTAGACTGTGAAAGACCCAAACAATGAAAAAAATGTGCCATTGGTTGCATATTGAAACTACATGGATTTCAAGGACAAGAAAATAAAATTTACACAAGTTAAGATTATTCATAGCAAATGAAATTATGTTTTTGCAAGTTATAGCGCAAATGGTGACAAAGGTTGTACATATCCGTCAGACTTATTGGATGGAAAATATACAATCGAGTCTTAGGCTATGTTTAATTAACCTTATTTAAGTACCTATTACTTATTTCCGATCACATCAGAAAATATAGGTTCATATCACATCAGAAAAAATTAATATCATACTTAATCGCTTTATGTGCGATTTTTTACAGCTAAATATCTTTAATTTCGTAAAAAAAAAAATTACAAAAACTACATGTCTGATATATACACATAAGTACCTATTACTTATTTCAGATCACATTGGAAAAATTTCATATCATATCGTTTTATGCGTAATTTCTTATTGCCAAATATCTTTGGTTTCGTTAAAAAAAATTACAAAATTACATAATTGAAAAATACAAATTAATACATATTTGAAAAATACACATTGAGACAAATCTAATAAGATCTCATTTTATACATTTTTTCCTTATAGATTAGCTGACATATAAGGTCAAAGTTTAGTCAGACAAGATAAGAAAAAATAAGTTCATATCAAATCAGATAAAATAAGTTTAGATAAGATAAGCAAATATAAGGTGAACTAAACATAACCTTAAATGGACATATCACCTCTACATTACAGTTTATTAACCCCTTAAAAAAAAAGGAAGATTGTTGTTACACTCTTTCCCTATGTCACTGTACATATGAATAAACTATCACATAGTATTTTTTTTTAAAGGGTAATTATCTAATATAACATACCATCTTTGCTACTAATCACTAATTGAGAAATAAAGTTAATTAAACTATCTTGTAACGACATTTTTTTTTAAGTAACAACGAATTACAACCAAAGACACCAAGTCGTGCTAAAAATGGGTTAAGACAAAAAGGGTCCTACTCTCGAAGTCTCGAGCTAGAGAATAGAGAGTTTTGTACACCAAGAAAAAAAGGAAATGAAAATTTAAGTGGCTTTCAAATTTTAAATTGTGACTTTTAACATTAGGAACTCTTGACTCCTTTTATGATGAAATAACTTATCTGCAAAATTGACAAATGTCAAGTTCGGGACCTAACACTTGACTCCAGCATACAAAAGCTTCAAAAAAGAACTTAACCTTCACAACAACAATATCTACAAAAATTCCTAGTATTCTAACTTCCCACGTCACCAAGTACATAACCAAATTCCTAACAGAACCATCTTCCACACTTTACCAAACCAACAATTCTTCATCCTTATTTTCAAAATATAACTCAACATTAACATGAGCAATCTCTACAAAAACGCCTAGGATTTTATCTTTCCAACTGAATCACCAAATTCCTAACAGAACCATCTTCCACACTTTAGCAAGCCAACATTTCTTCATCCTTATTTTCCAGGCTACAAGAATGCCCTTACAAAACAAGTCTAATAGTGAGGACCAAAGAAACTGAATCTAAGTTTGAAGAGTTAAGATGCTTAACTAATTCTTTATGCTCCTCATTAGATCAAAAGAGAATCATCACTAGCTTCATCATAATTCAATTTATTGTAAGAGCAATTTCTTTCATCTACCTATGATCCTTTGCTCACCAGAACAAAATATAACATCTTATGGTAAGTAACATACACCTAGTGTCCAAGATGGTTCAAATAGTAAGTTCTAATATAAGGTTCTTCAAGATGAATATTATAAGTCACATTCTTGAAGAAATTTTGTTTTCTTGCTGCACTCATAAGAAAATTATTATACACAAGAGGTAGCAGAGTGATAAAATTAAACCATTCAAGACTTGGACAATAGCAAAATAAGCTCACTCTTTTCAAAGCTATTTCCTTCCAATTCCAATCCGCAAATCCTATTTAATTAACCAGCCCATATCATTTCACCTCCACTCAAACAAGCTTATATCAAAACTTTCTTTCAAGCATTCAAGCAATGTTGTGTCGTGGTCAGTGCCCTTACAAGTTACAACCACATCAATACAGAGACTTGTCTTTTTCTATCTGCTTCCCACATAAGTTTTCATGACACACATGGTGAATTCCACAATAACAGTACATATAGCTTCCTAGTTTGCACATATAGCTCCTACTTGATGACTCAGAAAATTCCACAATAACAGCACATATGGCTTCCTAGTTTGCACATCATAAATACCTGTAATGAATTAGGCTCAACCATTCACACATCCCAAAAACATCAACATTGTTAAACACTTAAACATACTTTGCCACACATTGCAATGCAGCGAGAGATCTGCTATCCCAGTCTTTAAGCTTGCTTTGTCACATAGAAGCATAATTCCCATACGCCTTATGAACTTGCTTATCTTTGCCACGCATTGCATTAACCAACAATATTCAATTGCTTCCTAACTTACTAAAGAAAAATACTTTTTCTAATTTTTACCACGATTTCTTAACATTTACCCTCATGGGACATCAACTTCAATATTTTTTTTTATACAAAAACTACTTCAAATGGAAAATTAGTCAAATTGGTATATAAAAAAACAATTATTTGCCATATTGGTATAAAAAATTCGCAAACATAATGGTAAATTTATAATGTGGTGCATAAGGAGTTGAGTTCCTTCATTTTACATGTTCAAGTTGTCATACTTCTCCCCTATATTTTCCCTTTCCTAACTAGAAAAATAAAAACACGGTCTACTTCAATCATTTCTCACCACACTTTACCAATTACCAGCCCACACTAGATGTGTCTATGCCTATACTACGACACCATCAGCCAAATTCCCCAAATCAAGGCTCCTCTTTATGACTATCAGACTATACCACTGAGAAGATTCCTTGCTCTTAATTTTCTTTACATCAACAACACAAAAATAGCCAAACAGGGAGCCACCTACAGACCTACCCAAAAATCAACATATTACCACCCAAGGTATCAAAACTCTAACAGTGAATGTCATACGGTGTTGTGGAGTAGGTGTAGCTTTTTTTAGTTTAGTGCTTTAGTCATGATAGCGGGGAGGAATAAAATATCTAAGTGTATTCTTTCAAAAAAAAAAAAAATCTAAGTGTACAAGTCATAAGTTGTAGGAAAATTGGGAAAATAGGCATAAAATTACTGTATACTTCATATAAAAATTTTCAACCCAAAAATGTGAATATATGCCTCTCATTACATATTAATGAACCAATGCCTACAATTCTTTTATACCAACATGGCAAAGAAATGAGTTTTTAGTCATACCAATGAATCAAATGTTTAATACAGCTATATAAGCAAGATACAATCCAACAAGCCTATCCGAGTATCTATTGATCCAAGATAATAAATCTGCTTAATAAAAATGATTTTGTATACAGCTTATTAACTTGGGCATGACCTAGACTAATTTTGATATACTAGCCTGTAAAACAAATGCTCCCTAAGAAATTTGTAAACAAGAAAAATGCCATCAGATACTACCAAATTCAATTCATAACACAATATTATAATCCTAATTTAGAAACAATTTCCCAATACGGACTATAACCACTAAAATATACTACTAAGTGCTTCATGAAAAATTGAAATTGTAATAACCCTTTTACATATCCAACTTCTTAAAAAAGGTTATGAATGAGTGAACAACTTATCTCTCAAACAACGCGTCACAGGATGATGAACATGTACATTACACCAGAACCAATATGTCAACATATACATACAGATTAACATTTAAATCAAGGTTAAATAGATTATGAACAGAAGAGTAGCAAATACACACCTGATTAATGAGTTTCTGAGTATTCTCATCAGACAACCCATTATGATTCTTTGCTGCACCATTACTCCCTTGTCCATGATCCTTATCCAACTTATGACCACCTTGACCTGCTCCATTCTGCTGCTCCCCGCTTCGATGATGCTTCGGTTGATTATGATGATGATTCCGATGCGAATCATTCCGATGATGATGATGCTGATGATCATGATGACTCTGATTATGCTGGTGTTGCTGGTGCTGCTGCTGATGCAGATGATTCAAGTGAGGCAACGGAATAAGCGGAAAAGGCGAGTTGACTTGCGGCGGAGGCGGAGGCGGAGGATAAACATGCACCAACGCCGGCGGCGGAGACGGCGACGGCGACGGAGATACGATCATCACTCTCGGATCACCACCACCAGCAACACCACCAATAACCGAGCTCGGCGGCGAAGGAATCGTCTTCTTTGGCTTAAACTCCGGCGCTTGAGCATTCAGTTTACTAAACGACGAGTTCCGAGACAACGACGACGAACCTGAGTCTTCTTCAACGGAGACGGTTTCAGGCGCCATAGAATCGGCTAATTGAGGTTGATCGGGAAGAGAAGGAGTAGAATCTAGGGTTTTTTCTGAGGTTTGATCCGCCATTGTTAGGGTTTTGAAGGGTTTAAGGGGGAGAGATTGACTCCCCCTAGAAGAGGAAAGACGAAAACTGGGGGAAGAGAGAGAAAGACAGTAGAGAGAGAAATCGGGGTGGAGGAAGATCGAGACACCGTTAATGGAGGTTTTATAGGGAGGAGAGAGAGAAGACGGCGAAGCCGGAGGACTGTGGAGGAGGAAGTGGAGTGGGGCCCAACAATTGGTTTTACTGATTTTTTTTTTTTTTTTTTTTGTTAAATTTTAATTTTTGATTTTGATTTTTTTTTTTTTATAAGGAAAAAAATTTTAAAAAGAAATGAGAAGTGGATTGAGTTATGAGAATGATTGGTGGTGCATAGATTGATTGGGACAAATGGGTAGGGACCCACTAATATGAAGAGGAGGGTAGTGATGAATAAATCTAAGTAGTGTGGTGTGTTTTATTTGATTGTCATTAACTCATAATAGTGGAGATCACATCATATAATTTCTATTTTCTGGTTTTGAATTGTTCTCTTTTTGATTAAGTTTTGTACATGTATGTACATAGCAAAATTAATCTTATCTAAAATGACTTTATTCATTTTTAAATTATTATGTTTAAAGTTGAATATTATGATTCGATATGACACCATTTGAGGATCGAAATAGTTGTCAATTTTATAATCAAATTGACTTGATTAATCATAAAAATTAATAACAGTTACATGTCTAAAGTTGAAACTAAAAACATTATAAAAATTAATCATCACATTTATCATATGATTGAATGTATGTTAACATTTTGTTGGAATTTTTTATACGTATTGTATCCATTTGTATGTATATTGTTTAAACAACTTGTGTACATGATCATCCATTGAAATGAGTTAATGAAGTATAAGATTACCTTACATGATTTAGATCATCAAGATACCCCTTTATGGACATTTATATTCATTTTTTACAAAGTTAAGTTATAACTATGAGAGAAGACTATCCTAACTTTTGTGCATTTTTCTTCGGGGGAAAAAAAAATAAAAAAATAAAAAAATTTGTCCCACCCATGTGATTTTCTCTTCGAATTGGCCTAGTAGGTTCGTTAGCACATCCGTCATTCTAACTTGGCACATTTGCTAATAGCGTAGGAGACAAGGAGTGTAGGACTAGGAGCTACCAAAGATAATAACTCATTTTTTTTTTTGAAAGAAAGAAACTCATTTAGGAGTTATATAAACTTAGTTACCTCCCTCCCTCATTAGATTGCATATTGTATGATTTGTATTTTTCACCAAAGTAATTTTTGTGTGAAAAATTCTTGAAACAAAAGCACCCCAGAAATTCGATCTTAGATGGGCAACACACACAATAAGAATGAAACTACTTCTGGAGATGCAATCAAGATAATACCAAACATGAAATCACCATTATAGAAATAAATTTCCTCAACAGCTTCACCAACATCCAAAATTCCACCCATGTTGCAACTAAAGGTAAAAAGCACAAGCACAAACATTACAGATTTGTTCACTTAACAGCGCTCTACCATTAATATGGAGACCTCCAGTAGACCAAATGCAGGACTCACATATATAGGATTCATGTTTCTTTGGTATCGACATTCTGAGGTTGGCTTATTGTCTGTTGTACCTCCTGAAACTTGTTTTTGATAGCATCCCAAAATGCAGGAATTGCTACATCATCCGGTACTTCCTTAAATGATGGCAAGTAGTTTACATCCACTATCACATGGTCTCCAGTACCTTCCTGAATCTGTTAACAGCCAGAACTATGTTATGATCAATAATCAATTATGATGCAGAAAGCGCAAAGTAAATTTGGCTCAAGCCTCTAACAGGGTGCATAAGGAAGGCTTTTCCATTCCTATACCATTCCCCCTTCTTCACTTCGCCAGCTACCAGGATTTAATATCCACTTCAGCGTTCAACCTACTAAGCAGTGGACGACTGAGAGAGCCAAGAGCCTAATGAACCCAATGAAGGGGTCCACCAGCCACCATACCTATCTTAAATACTTGTATGATTAGAGTTTAAAGTTAAGCTGGGAAGCATAAAGCCATGGTTTTTGAGTACTTACAACTACATCAAAGCCAAAGATGGTAAGATCAAGCTTTCCCCTAAGCAAATTTGCAGCATTTTTTACAAGCTCAAGGTCAACAGCTTCATCTCCAAACTGATTCTTTTCGGCAGTGGGTAGGGACTTCAAGCTGTGAAAGAAATTCACTCGGTTAGTTGCAGCTTTGCAGGAAATCATCTTTTCACACGCAACTTCATTAATTGGAAAGCATCATGGAAAGACCTAACGGTAGACTACCTGTCAAACACTAGAGGCTTTAACTGATTTGCTTGGGACAATTTCATCAACACATCTCCGTTAGGTGTAGACTTTTTGACTGCATGGAAGACTTTCTCCCCCAAGACATAGAATTTGAATAGTGTGGATGAATGATCTACATATTCCTGCATAATTCAGAATCTCATACTTAAAGACAAAAGAGAAGTACACAAGTAACATAAAAGAAATAAGATTACGGAAAAAAAAAAAAAAAAAAAAAAAAAAGTTGATAGCAAAGTTCATGCCAAAGCAGACTTTTTTACATTTAATAAATTTAAAAAGGGAACCACCTTGTAAAGTCCATGAGCCAAAATTTATTTCAATAAAGCTTGTATCCTCCTCGTTACAATAGAATAAACTGTTCTTAACAGAACCCATTATCAATCCTTCACACGCCAAAGCTCCAAAATTTTTAAAGAATCTGGACAATCCAAAACACATTATTGCCGAGTAATGCCTCAGCTCAGTTGTATCCGAACACACCAGTCACTGATTAAACATCACTCATCCACAAAGTTGAATCAGCTACAGATACCAATTGATAATAATCATTAAAGACAAAATGGGCAAGAGTTCTGAATAAGATTACTCCTGCTGCTGCAATGGTATCAGATAATGGAGGTTTCCAGATGTGTTGCTGAAATTGAATAAGATTATTCTATACATATATATAGAAGGAAAGAGCCGCAAAAGTGAAGGAAGGAATCTTAAAAGTGCAAGAAAGCAATGAAAGTAAGCAACATAAAGGGAGAAAAGGGAAGAGTGAAAGGCAAGGGACATAAATGAAATTTGAAAAGTCTCTTGCTTCTGAGGGTTGCCTACATAGAGGTTTCCTACTGTACCAAGTCCATACTTATAAAGAGTTCAGCGTACATGAGAGTTCCAAACAAGCTAATTTTCCACATTGTAAGACTGCTAGGTCATCTGCAAACTCTTCAATAAGCTCTTACCAATTGAAAGGCACCTGTGGATCACCTTTTTCATCAACCCCATTGTTTTCCTCATTGGAAGAAACATCAACTACCTATACAATGTTCAGGATGACCACCATCTCCAACACACTGAGCCAAGACCCTCAAACCTCTTCAATCTAAAATATTATTCATAGCAGCTACATTAATGGGAAAATCTTTTGCAAGACCCTAAAATTGCATAACTTATAGCCACAGCAACAATGCGTGCTCAACAAAAGCCACATCACTGAGTGTGCCCCATCTCAGCTTGCACCTCCTAATAGCATCTCTTACTACCTCATGCAAAGAACCATTGACATTGCCATATGCCACTTGTATTTGAGTATTATCAAACCCTAGCCATCTCAAGTATTCTCAGTGATATTGAAAAGGCATAATCCTTCTTTATTGAAAAATAATACAATTATTTGTGTTCTCCCTAGCCTTCACGTCCCTCATCCTTCCTCTCAAAGACAGAAAATGGGGCACACTAGGAGATAAGTGAAATTAAATAAAATTAAAGTGTTGTAAAATTTTCTCACCTGAATTACAGCCGGTAGCGGCACCTGGAGTTCCTTATAATCTTCTAAACTAAAGACGATTGCCTGTGAAATTTGTGTAAAAAATCAGAACAGTTGTAGCTCTCCTTTATATTGAAGAAAAAGGAGTCAGAACAATAATGAACTCCCAGTGAGCATTACAAATTAAAGCCAGATTGCCAGAGGAATTTTGCATGCTCTCTTATGTTCAAAGACAATTTTAAGCTTCAGTAAAAGCATCGTAAAACACAGATATTGTATGTATTATATATATTATGTGATGAGCTTTTCAATATATTTGGAAGCAAAACTAGTCTTGACTCAAATTTCGAGGGGAAACAAATGAAAGAAGCATGAATCAGTTTACTAAAAGAAAATTATTTCCCCTTGATCTACATGCTTAAACTATCGCTTCCATCATAATAATATGGCAAAATTTCAATAATTTTTTGCATGAAAAGAAAAATTACTCAAACTAAATGTCTGTGAAACCACGCCTACAAGCATGTGTGTCGAATTACTTCAACTAAATGTCTGCAAAAGCACAAGCGCACTAAATTTTAGAGCTATAAGCAACTGTCTCTGAAATTTTAGGGTTACAAATATAAGTTTCCCTATGTGCATGTGCATATGAGTTGAATTAAATTTATATACTGAATAAAACGATGATAACTAGCTTATTACCATACTGTGAGCACTTGATACGCCACACGCAACTTGAGGTTTCACTATGCTTGGAAGGGATACCTTAGCCTCCAATAGCTTATCTGTCAAACTAGGATCATTATAACTGTCAACCTGCATATTCAATCAACATCTTAGTTTTCTAGATAACTAACAAGAAAAGTCAGTTGACTATATTCTGTAAGTTACATGCATGTACTCAAAAATACATAAATCTATATGAGAAGCCTTTAATATCATGACTGCCAAGAACAAAAAAAAAAAAAAAAATCTGAAAATATGTTGCATTAGGATGATTTTTAATTATAAAGGGAGGAAAAGAAAGAACTGAAGATAGTATGAAAAGTTTTAAAGCAGAAAGCGGAGAACAGGTATACAAATCTCAATTTGATTATTTTGGGTAAATTAATTGCTATAACTGGGGAATCAATTTAGAACCAAGACATTGAAAAGCGAAGACATGTAAAAATCATTTGAGCTTCTATGATCATGGGCATGTCATTGTTCACAAACTAAAAGAAGCATATATGATAGAAGAACAGAACATCAAGTTCCAGCCAAAAGAAGAGATGAAATAAAAAAAGGAACTGTAGAACAGAAAATTGATGTTTGTGATTCCAGATAAGAGAAGAGCTGCACATAAAAAAAAAATAAAAAAAAAAACCCTCAAGTGAGGTAATTAGGGAGTGTCGACTGAATACATGCTAAAGTACACCTACACCAGACTTGAACCCAAGTCTGTAATTATTACTACTATTTTTTTTAAAAATAGCAAAACCAAATTCCCTGCAACCGGAAATGATTGATTGTTCTCATGCAAAAACGGTGGAATACTGATGCAACAATTATGGAGAAAAGTATGGTGAGGATGGTGCAAGTTAGGCATAGATATTAGCCACGGGACAAATGAAGGTTTTGATGTGTTCTACTGCAGAGGCAAATTTGGCTCTCTTTGGAATGTGATTAGCGTTAGCTATGGTATTTCTGAAAGAACCCTTAGAGGAAGACAGCTAGAGTGCCTAGAAGTACAATTCAATCATGAGCAAGGGGTGCTTTCTGAAACGCTATTCTGATTGGAGGGGGTTTGAGGAAATTGATAAGTTGTGTTTCATGTGATTGAAGTGGCTCAGTGTCTAGTTAGGCAGAATGGGAATAACTCAAAACTCTCATAATGCCTACTAATTTAATTTAGTTAGTCTGTTTGAATATAGGAGTATCCAGACTCCAGAGGCTGACTCTGACACAATGACTGATGATTTTGGAAATTATCTTACTATTGGAAAAAGTGGATCGCACACTAAGACTCTAAATGCTTCAAATAAAACCAATACATGCATTAAATAACACTTTTCATTCAACAAAAATGAAAGCAATTTTTCAAACTTTTATTTAGTACTACGTAGAAGATTTCACTAGGAAAAGTAGGTTCATAATAATGGATTCACATGCAATAAATCATTTATGTGCCATTCTCAATTAATTGAGCATATAACAGACAGAGTGACTAATTAATTCAGCTTGATAATTCGAAGTACCAGAGGTGCACATAATGCTATATCTTAAGAAAATGAGGGCATTATGTTCACTCCCTTAACCAATTGAATTCTATATCTATTGCATATTGATGTCTATCTAATTCAACATAATCATTCAGAGAACAGGAGATAACATCATACCTTGAGAAAATGGGCACCCCTAATCTTTGAGAAGCCTTCCTTGTTCAGATCCTCCAACCCAAGTAGAAGATATTGGATCTTGAGCCGATCCAAAACAGGATAGATATTATTGAACGGATCAATAACACAACAGTGAGGATGACTCGGCAAGGTCCTGTGTGTCAACATGCTAGAGAACTACATCAACTGCACTACAGTTGAAGTCGTCAAGAACCAAAAGGTACTCTTTTTGCACATCTTATTCACTTCAATAAAGTTTAAGAACAAAAGACTCCTGCCATTTATAGCATTTTTTTTATTTTTTTTATATTTTTTTAAAGTTGGTAACACTTTGATGTTACCAAAATCTACCATTATATCAATTCACTAATGTACCATTAAACCATATAAAACAATTTTACCATCTCTTGATACAGCCAAAAAAAAAAAATATTATCATTTAATTTTGGACAGAGAGTGTATCAGCTATCAACGTCATTTCTCTTTAAGTAGAAAGTTGTGCATTGGCCCCAGCAATCAAGGGTAACAAGTATCGAAAAGGCTCAATAGAATGCATTACACAAGCTCATGAAGCGAATCTAGACCACCAAAAGTTCTCAAGGCAATATCTAGGTTTAAGGTGAGAAAAAGAGATAGTTTTCAGATAATTATCTACTCGATCTATGTCCCCTTCTCGTCGCAACTTCATACTGCTATAAGCTGTTTATATCAAACAGTATTTTCCAACTCCACGCCTTCAACTTGTCTTTCTATTTGTTCCTTCACCTATGGTTTCTTTGTTACTATGACCAAATACATACCACTTCCTTCACCATAATAACATTCGCAGATGACAAACAAAACCAGCATCAAATTATTCAGAAAAGCAAACATCCAGAGAGAAATATATTGCAGAGTTAATGGGTAAGTTTAGAGGCCAGGCGAAAACATGGGAAATCAAACAAAAAGAAATTTATACATAACCGGAACTCGTCTCCAATTATTGTGACAATAAAAAGTTTAAAAAGTTCACATCCCTTTTTGTCACAACTGATCTGTCAGTTTTTAGAGAAATTGGCCATGCAATATATTAACAAAAGTAATGCTAGAAAGGGGCTAATTAGCATTTAAAAGAGGCGTGTTAGAAGACAAAAAAGACTAAATGTTAAAAGGCCCAAGTCAGATTAGAGATAAAAGCCATATCATCTTCAAAAAAAAGAGAAGTACCTTCTCAATTCTTCCATACCATTTGTGTAGGTAATTTTTGGGGCAAGTGACAAGTTCAGCTCAACAGATAAAATTTCGTCAGTTGCTTTATGAAGTATTACATCAATTTCTTGCAGCTGCAATGGTATGGAAAGATCGTAACTGAGGGGCAGAAACATCAAATCATGCTGGATTGAATACAGTGGAAATGCACCTCTCTGCCAAATGGAACATACATGCTTCACTTAGTATGGGAGGAGAAAATAATCTGCAGAAAAGATACGAGCAGAAAACACAGCATGTCAATCCCAACAGTCACCTCATCACCAAATGGAACCTATGCTAACCCCCACAATATCAAATTCTCCGTGTCATGTGCACACAAGTTTCTATGTAATACAAGCAGTCATCAATATACTATTAAAAAGTTGATTAGATCATCCTGAAAATTAGATTTCACTGTGCTGCAAAAAATTGAAGAGGAAAGTAAAATTACAGCACCAGATGAACATCTTACACCGCTTTCTTTCCAAAGGACACGCTTGTAACATATTATGCTGAAGTTCAGGGGTCAAGACGAGCAAAGAAAAATTTAGCAAAGCCTTACAAACTATGATTTATTAATGGAATGAGGGACTCCATTGATTCCATCCCTTCCCTCTGTGTTTGCAGATATGAATTAAGATACAAATTAAAGGTGAAAATAAAAATCAATAGTGTTTTAAGCACCTGGTAAGACTATTAAGTCATAGCTAACGGTTCCTACTTTCTAAAATTTAATGAAAACCAAATAGCCAATATATACCAAAGGAAAAGTGATACAAAATCAATAAGTCAATCCCAAGTAAGTTTTTTAAACAATACTCATTGAAGTTACAAATACAAGCAATGACAGCATTGAGCAAATGAAGAACAATATATCATACTGTCAATCCAAAGGGAATACTAAAATATCACTCGTAAATTTACAGATGCTAGACTGATAACAAGGAGCATCTGCTTTCAGTCAAGAATCTTGTATGGATCAAGTTAGAATTGCAGTTGCAATTATGATTAACAAAGCAGTTGCCTCTCATGGAAGCATAGTTCATCGCAGTGGTGCAAAAGAGTTACAGTTGATGTGGTATGATTTTTATCATTGGTTGTATGACTTGTATCGCCTTATCAGGCTTGTATCTGCTGTATCCACCGATATGGACCTGCTATGAGTGGCCCTCTATAAAGTGGACTAGCTGAAAGTCTGATATCAGCAATATGTTTCAGTTGAATCGTATTATTTGCATATTGGCTGATTACTTATCACCCACAATATACTTCTTTCTGAGCAAGTAAAATTTTAATTAATTAATTAAAATGAACAATGGTACAGACAAAGAAGTAAGGTGTACATAACAAAATCGATGTGGGAATATAGTGAGCAATCCTCTGCTTTACATCATCGATGTGTCCAATAAAATCAATGTAATAAAATCACCCTAAGCCCTTAACTCTTTGCTTTGTGATTGGCAACATATTAAAATGCGATTACACAGTATTTTTTTATTAAGATCTTATCATTAACATCAGAACAAAATATTAGAGAGCACCATATAGAGAACCATGAGAATTGTAAGCATTTAACTTTTTTTGTGAACAATATTAAAATCTACAATCAAGACTAAGTCTTTCTCTTTCCTTATACACCAGAAGATCCATCAACTAGGGTTGAGATGATCCCTAGTGTAATTCCAAATTTCCAATGCCATTAACTATTTCTTTATCTCCCCCTATAAATTAAATCATCCATATTAATCTTTGTCTAGAATTGTGAGTAAATTGTCTGAACTAATGATAGTAGGTACTGAAGTGAACCCAAGAATATTGAATCTTGATCCGTTAGAAATTTCTAACTAAAAGTTTGAACTTTTTCTAAGATCAATAAAATAAATAGTTGCTAGGAATTAGGGATGTTGCTTTCAATGTATCTTATGTGTTGGATCTATTATTCATAGAAGGTTTTTTATTTTTTTTATTTTTTTTTTAAAGGTTTTTAGAAGAGAATATTTGGTAGTGAAAAGGCATTATGAGAATACTTCTACCACAAATTCTTTCATACTGATTTTGTTGTTTGGGATTTCATACAGCTAGTGCTTGATTTAATTAAATCACTTTACCGTTTATTACTGTATATGTATTAACAACACAGATCATAATATAGATTAGTTAAAAGCATAATGTATCTAAACCTTATCGAATGTCATGAAGTTGCACCAACTGCTCTATCTCCAGACAATTTGAAGCTCACCTTAGCAAAATCTGCTTGCCGGGAGGGCTTCATACAGTAGCCAACTGTTATAGCCTCTTTGGAAGCTACCTGTTCACAATATATTTTCAGAAGTGATCAGCATAGTGTTTCATCTTCCCCTCACCCCCAAATAAAATTGAACAGAATACATCAGTGTTACTAAATTTCCAGCAAAGGTATCTGCAATAGGATTATGCCTCTTTTTTCATATAATTAATATTAAACAGCATGCTGATCATAGGATTTGGAAAATGCAGGTGACCAAATACAGAATAATAAAACCCAAAACGGCCAAAGAAAATTCTAGCAACCTTCGTCGACTTTAGTTAACAGTATTATGATGACATTCTAAATGGTCTTCAGAGGAAGAAATGAAGATAGAAGAGAACTGGCAGAAGACGATGAAGGAGAGGAGTATACAAAATGTGCAAAGTTGTGCATCAAGTTCAATTCCAATTGCCAATTCTGCAAATCAGAAGTAGGTATACAGAAAAAAATCCAAGAAGGGGATACCAAGAAACTAGAAATTAAATTGATTTATTTACTAAATGTCTACCGACACTGAATCGTAGCAGAGTCCTAACAGGATAACAAAACCATTACTTTCAATTGAATGAGAGGCTATAATGCACCACGTCTATTGACTTCCACTCATATGGACTCCCTCTTCCATACATCAACTCTTCAAGTATTTGATGTCCAAAATTACCCTTGCCCACAACATGAAGAAAGAGTAGAGAAAAAACAAAAGAAGATGCCAGAAACCAAACGCTAATCACTGTTCTCTTGGTCGTCATACAAAAGCCCAACAGATTAGCAACCAACACCTTATCTATTCATTATCCTTTGCAGCTTTGAAGCTTCCAACGTTGAGACTTTGAAAAAAAATATCAAACCAACAACAGTCCATGCAATTTAATTTTCTATAGACTTCTATATTTTCAAACAAAGGTAGTAGGGAATTATGGTATAGCAAGTCATTTCCATGTCATATATAACCACTAAATAATTCATTATCATGGAAAGGGAGAGTGATACTAGCCCCAGCAAAGGTATTCACAGGATTATGGTTTAACAAATGATTTCAATGTGCCACAGAGCCACTATATGATACCTTTATATGGAAAAGGAAAAACTAATACTTGCCCAAGCAATTATATATGCCAAACCTTTTTGTTCAAGCAGCACAAAGTCAAAGGAAGCTCTTCCAGTTTCTTGACATAATGGGCACTTGGATGCTTTTTTGTATCGCCTCCAGTATCAACATCTGCAGGTAAAAATGGAAACATTGTGACCAACTAAAGGAAACCTCAACATGCACAGTGATCAGCAATTCAGTTTTACCAGCCATTCCAACTTATTTCACAAAAGGAGGCAAAAGAAAAAAATGATACTGATGAATGTTAATTGTGAGATATAATGAGACACATGGGAAATCATATGCGTCAAGTGGACATCCAAGCCAGAATGTGCTCAGCTCCTATTTTCTAGAGATTGCTACTTCATGATCTCATCAAACCTAATTTTATCAAAATTTAAGAAACTACATTATTTTTTCTTCATTTCACAAGAGGTGCAACACAACACGTGTAACAGCAGCTTAAATCTATGCTTTGTTGCACACATTCGCCAATTGTTGTCTGGTAGAACTCTCTATTGTTGCCAACAAATATCCATTGCCTAGTTATAAATAATATACAGTAAACTGTAAAGGAGAGTATGCTCACCAAGTATACTTAGTAAAAACCCACGTTCGTATAGCTTAAGACAATGATCCACTTTCTTACTGGAGAGTACAAACAAAACATCTTTTCCAACATCATCCCAAGCTACAGCAATTTCATTCATAAGAACTTCCACAGCAGAAATACTGACTTTAAAACAATCGAATGAATATACTTCTGACATCTTTTCTAGAAGATTGACCTGCACCACAAAGAAAAACAAAGAAACATAGATGAATGAGAACTGCAGAATCTATGGTCAAACATGAGCATGAGGACACCCATCTAGTTTTAGCAGAAATGCGTACAGCTGCTGAAAAGGATAGTATCTTCAGGCCTAAAAGTAAAGAGTGAACAGTACTATAGCATAACTGTCAAGGAATGAAACTAATTCTAAAGTATTCCCATTCTGCAAATTACAGTTTAAACCTTCTTCAGGGCAATCAAAACACAGAAAAATATCATACTTCAGAATATACTCCATAATTAGCGTTAGGAGGATACTGCAGAGGCCATACCACCATAGTAGGACAAGAGTTCAAAGGATCATCTTTTACTTTCAAGCCATCAATTCGATCTCAACTCTATTTTCTCAGCTTAATTTGAAATGACATATACAAATGTGCATTCATTATAAGATCAATATGAGAACAATCATTGTGTAACAGTATACCTAATCTTTAGCCAAAAAAGTAAACACTAACAAAAATAGTGATTACTTTCACCTGTATGAGCACCTGTTTACAACAGTGTGACTAGCAAACAGGCATAGAGTTAATATAAAAGTAGTTGCACAAGTTTATTATATGTTTACGACAATAATTCTAATTATTTCTTCAGATTAACTGCAGAGAGTCAAGTTTCTGAAGCCCTGATAAGTACTCAAACAGACATAGTCATCCTAGACAGAAGTTCAAAGCACGCACAAACCTTATCGATTGAAAGATCCTCTCCGAAAAGAATTCCCTGCAAGAATAAATAGATCTTATAGTCTGCTTAAAGTTTGAACACAAAAAGAAAGAACAGAACCTAAACCAGGAAACTTTTATAAATATAGAATCTGGACTTCAAAATCAGGAATGTCATTCAATTATAATGAATTGCACATAAATCTCATGAAAAACTTCCTCAAAAAAAAAAAAAAAAAAAAAAAAAAAAAAAAAAAAAAGGAAAAGTTCTAATGAAAAATCAGGAGTAGATAAAAGTTCAAGGATCTCCTTTCTATTCAAATTCCTATCATTCCACTCCTACATATTTGACATAGCTCTTCAAAAAGAAAGCCTCTCTTTTAATCCGCTACGTTAAGTTCAGTTATATTCATCAAATCGGCTTTTCCATCGTAAGGCATCATCTAGAACAACACACAATACTTCTTGTCCATTTGATTCATGTAATAATTCATCCAGTCCAAATTAATTACAAAACTTGAATTAAACGATTTCAAACTCCGTTGATCTAAAAGTAGTTGTGACTTTTCACTTGTGAAACTGCCCTGACGCATTTCATAAATAAATAAAAAAGACAATTTCTCAAAATTACCATTTATGTATTCAGTTGGATCATTCATACGTACTAGTCAGTGGAGCACAATGAGAAATCTAAGCATAGACCAGTACTACATCACTTAAGGCATCAACATCATCCGTACATTCTAAAATAGTATGCGCGACCACTAACCCCAAACGAACAAACGAACTACATAAATTTTCAACAAAAAGTAATTTCATCTAAAATTGATATTCAACATTTCAACGCATATGATCAAATGCAATTGCATGCAATTGAATAATCAGAGCTAAAATCAATCTAACCAGCAGTATAGGAGAACCAAAACATCCAAAAACACAATTCACAACTACAATATAAAATTGATGACGAGTGAGACGACAACCTTACGGAATTGGGAAAAATGGAGGGCGCAAAAGAGGAAATCAGCACCAGAACGAAGAGTAGGAGCGGCATTACCATCGCAGTCATCGGCAAGAAGAATTGAAGCGTCCAAAATCAGTGCTCGCACACCACCCATTTTCTCTCTCTTACTGATTGTTTGCAAATTGGTACTCGGAAGAAGAGAGAGAATGGAGTCTACCGGACCGGAAATTCGTACGCTACATAAGATTCTAAGACCTCATGGGCGGACCGACCAAGAGCACAAACCATGTTTTAAAAAATGCAACAATATTGTCTAATTGTTGGTTGTTAGTAGCTTGTTAGACGTGTGTTTGGCAAAATGTAGCCGTAGAAGTAATTGTTAGTGTTAGTCGTGGTAGGAGTTGACTAGTTGTTAGTTATATGTGTAGCTGTTTGCTGTCAATCAGCGGTTAGTTGTGAAAATAAATAATTAAGTATTAGTGTTTGGTAAAATAGTTGTTAACTAACTATTAGCTATAAAATTCTAAAAATATAAAGAAAAATTTCAACGGCAACCTAGCTTTTCAATATAGCTAATAATATTAACTTTTCACAAAAGCTATTTCAACCACTAAACTCTACTCCCACCATTACCTTACCAAACACTCAGGGATCGTTTGGTTCGCAAAGTGGAATCGGAATGAAATGGGGAAAGGGTATGGAGGAGAATGGAATAAAACCCTTGAAATTTAGGGTGTTGTTTGTAAAAAAAAAAAGGAATGATTCCATAGAACCACCACCACAACACCACCATTTAGGGTTTTTTTTTACTCTTTTTTCTGGAATTTGGTTGTTTGGAATTCCGGCGGCGACCAGCGAGGTCGGGGGAGAGCCGACGAAGGTGGAGCGAGGTCAGGGGAGAGCCGGCGAAGGTGGAGCGAGGTCGGGGGAGGTGAAGCGAAGGTCGGGGAGAGCCGGCGAAGGTGAAGCGAAGGTCGGGGAGAGCCGGCGACCATCCGGCGAGGTGTGACTACAGTCCGGTGGTGGGATGTGGGTATGGTGGTGGTTGGAGAAAGGGAATGGTAAAAGTTGGGGGTGGGGAATGGGGGTGGACTAATTTTGGGTAAACCCAAAAATAAAAAAGGGGAAAGGGAATGAAAGAATGTTGCGAACAAACGACAACAAAGGGATTCATTCCCTTCCCCTTTGTTTAAACCCCCCAACCAAACGCCCCCTCATATTTTTTTACTAAGTAATGGTTTGAATAAGTCAAACCATTAAAAGTTACTCAAAAGGTACTGTCAAACACGCCCTTAATATGCATCGTTTTTCTTTTGAATTTGAAATTGTTAGCTTCCATCTCACTGTGTAATCTATTAACTATTAGTAAAACAAAACATTGCTGAAATTATCAACCCTTAAAAATATCTATATAAAATTCAATTAACCAATCTCTCCTAAATTATATTTTCACATACCTAATTTGTTTGACGTTTGACTGTGGGTTCAATTTTTTTTACTTTCCAACGTAACAAAATTTGCAAGAAAAATTAATTCTAACGTGTAAAAATATGAATAGTACAAGATTTGAACACACAACCTTAAGTTAAGTTTAAGAACTAACGTGTTAGCCAGTAAGCTATCACCATATTATATGTCATTCTACCAAAATAAAATATAGATAAGACTTTCAATCATGGAAAAGACTAGTTTTCATAATTAAATGAGTGCATTGAAAACTTTGTGACCTAAATAGTCGATATCCTGATAAGTTTGCATGTTGTATGTCATCGCTGCAATGTAATTCACTATAACATACATAAGAAGATAATTTTATTGTTGACCTATAAGCCTCCTAGTTACAATTGAGCATAACAAGTACATGTTTACATAAAGCAAAAACCACATAACATGACATACACACTAGACTCAGATAAACATAAAATATGTCCAAAATTTAAGCATTTGAACTTAGACAAGTACACGGGGCTAAGAGCTATCTACTAGTGCATGTAGCTTGTTACTGAAGCTACTTCCCCTTTTGGTCCTTAGCAAAGGCTTCTATAGCACATTGAGGAATTGAGTAGTGTAGCTTGAAGTACTCGTTCACCTAAGTTTCATACATTAGCAAGGTGAGCAATGTCATTTCCAGTTCACCTCATGAGAAGAATGATAACAATACGATCATCTTCACAATATCTTGGATTATCATACTTAGTTCATGGTTTAAGTGCATTTCAACATTCTGCAACATTATTTACAAAGTGTTTGCATCGTTTTCTATTTCCGAATGCTGAATGTTAACATTGTTTTTGTAGTTATAAGAGCTTTCCTTATTGGGATCAATTCTGTAGCTTTTAGATCAATATAATTGAATTTGACCGAGAACGAAAGCTGATTGAAGTGAAAAGCTAAACAAGATTTTTAACATCATTCATGAATAGATGAATCTTACAAGTAAAACTAGTCGTACATTAAGTAGCTAACAACCAAAAAATCCATCAATAAAAAATTTCTCTCTCTAGGTTCCAAGAGGCATGTTTCAACTCTCCTTCCTTCCTTAGCAGCCACCTCTTTATTTCCTACACCTTGTTCTTATCATCTTCACCGCCTAAAATCACCTCGCCATTTTTGTCAAAAATCCATTTAATTCCAATCAACATTTTCAACCTTTAGTGAACAATTTAGTTGTTCTTATCAATTTTAAATTCGTCCTATGAAAATTGGCCACAAGAAGAATTAGTGCAGAGCTTCCCCAGGAATGATTAAAGCCTCACTAAACCATATGACTTCTTTCTTTGACACTACTATATATTGACTCAATTCCTACTCTGTCCAACAAGAACATCGGGCTCAAAAGAACTGAGAATTTTAGGACTTCCAATTTAATCTTACCTGGAATTTTTACCAACATTTCATGGTCGAAACAAAAAACAAATAAGGATACAGGCTTTTCTCCTCGAATTCCCCACCTTTGCTTCCGGTACTCCTAAAGAAACGAAAACTAGATTTTCAATCGGTCAACCCGTAAGAAGCAAAGAGACTTAATTCTACAACCTTATTAGCGTCAACCCAGGAAGAAATTTCAATTTGGATCCAAAAAATTTTGACTCAAACTTGAACTTGTCACGGAAGCGAAAACACCATGACCCTTCCATTTCGAGCACCAGGAAAAAGTTTAAATTATTTGTGGTGCCCCTACTTCATAATAAACTATGGGAGAGTCACTACTCTAGTAAACCCCACACCAACTCTGAAGTTGAATCGGATCCTAGTAACTTCCCCATTCCCCAAGACTCTGGAAAAGGTTTCACCTTTCCATTTTTTGAACTTCCTTTGGATGCCTTCATTTCACCATCTCATCTTGCTCGAATTCATATGGACTATGGTGATCCTCCCTTCTCTTAGCGTGTGAAGAAAAAGATTGTGAAGGGGAAAGCTTCTAAAAGACAACATGTGAAGAAGAAGAAGTTTGTAAAAGGAATTAAAAACTTTTGACAGAGAGCATGTGCAAGATCCTATCACTCCAAATGGGGATAGTAAGGATACTTGCTCTTGTGGACCGACTCCATCACATAAGATAATCACTCTTGTGGATCACTCTTCATTGTTTTCTGAGGGTTTGGTGGCTCCCCGATCTGAGCCACCAAGGTATCCATGAATATTGCAGCTTGGAACTGTAGGGGTCTTGGTGAGGCGGACTCCCCTAAAGTTCCGTATGTTTCATCTTTAGTCTGCCCTTTTGGTGTAGATATCATGTTTCTCGTGGAAACTTTAGTTCCGTATAGTGTGCTGTACAAAAGTTGTCGTTGTTAGGTTTTGATGGGTTTTGTGGTTCTGATGCTCTAGGTCTTAGCGGGGGTTTGGTAGTCTTTTGGTTCTCCCTAGTTTCCGTTGTACCTATTTCTATTTCTCCCCATGTTATCTTTTGTCAAGTGATTGTTCCTGGTCAAGAAATTAAACATATCATCTTTGTGTATGGATCACCCCATATTTCCTTTCGGAATGCAGTTTGGGCAGAAACCACTGATAGTTTACGTATTGCACCAAATGCAGTTTTATTGGGGGATTTTTATCAAGTTGAATATTTATCTGACAAGGTCGGGGGTTCACTAGCTATTCCTGGTCGACATGAGTTTTTAGACTGGAAACTAAGTTCGGGATTACTAGATATTCCCTTTTTTGGACCATCTTTCACATGGACTAATGGTCAATTAGGAAATCCTATCTTTGAAAGACTTGATAAGGGTTATGCGACGAGGGCCTGGATGGACACTCATCCTAAGGCTTGGATTTGTCATCAACTGATCTTGTTTTCAGATCATGTAGCAATTACTTTATGTGAATTAAGGACTCGAGCGCCGAGGAAGCGGCCTTATAGGATTGAAAACTGGTGTCTAGAGTACCAAGAGGTTGCTTTACTTATTGCTTCGTCTTGGCAGATTAGGTTTCCTAGCTCGCAGATGTTCTCTTTTTCGCGTAAATTGGATAATCTTCGTCATCATCTTCTGTCTTGGTGTGTTACTCACAAGCGGCCTTGGGGCATAGACTGGAAGGATTTACAAGATTCGGTTACTTCATCGGCTAATAATCTAGCATCTGATTTGGACCGTTGTCGATTCATCACTACTCGTGGGGACAAGGTTTCTCAAGATCGGCCCACCTTTTTGGTATTGGAAACAGCGTTCTAAACTGAAATGGGATGCTCTGGGTGAATCTCATTCTCGTCTTTTGTTTAGATCGGTGAAGGCTCGTCGTCGTCGTAATAGGATTCACAGCTTAAAGGATGACTCTGGTGTTTGGGTTTCAGATCTGGCTGGGGTTTCTAATCTCCTTGAGGATCATTTTTCTAGTATTTATAATTGTCATCGTCCTGCTCTGCCTCCTGCGGATTTTTCTTGGGATAGCTTGGATTTGCCTTAACTCTCGACTTTAGATCAAGAACGACTTTTAATTCCTTTTTCCGCAGCTAAAATTAAGGATGCAATGTTCCATATTGGTAATGATAAATCTCCTGGGCCGGACGGTTTTTCTGCAGGTGTTTTTTTTTAATTCCCCTAGTCTGTTGTTGGGACCCAAGTGATTTCTGTGGTTCAATATTTTTTCGCTCATGGATATATGCTTAAAGAGTGGAATAGAACTTTTTTGGTTTTGCTTCCAAAAGTGGAACATCCAGAGTAGGCTTCTCAGTTTCGTCCGATTGGGTTATTTAATGTAGTTTACAAGTGCATTGCAAAATGTTTGACGAACCATCTTCAAAGGGTTTTACCTTATCTTATTTCTAATTTTCAAAATGCCTTTGTGTCTGGACGTTTAATGAGTGGCAACAG